TTTAGACCAAATATTACAGATTTGAACAAATACGCACAAAAACATCAAAATTAGCACAGAAACAGTACTATATAACATTTTAGACACATTCTAGGCAGTTTATCAGCCAAAAAAAGTTAATTTTGGGGTAAGTTACTCTTTAAATCAATCAATTCTACTGACCAGCCGAGCGGTTTGCGCATCTCTATTTGTTAGAATAATTGTTATAATTATATTATAACTATATTTTATATGTATAATAAATATTTATTATTTAGAAGAGCCAATGAAAATGAGTGAAACTTACAAAACTGTTTAAAACTAAAGTTGTTACTGAACAAGGTAAAAACATGATGACACACAAACTCCTGGCTTCTTCCTTCAGAAGGGAGAACACAAACGGTATTTGTAGTAGCTGGTATATTTGGCTCCAGACTCATTAGCGGTACTGAAAACAATACATTAGGGTAGAAAAAAAAAAGGAAATCCATATTCTGAAATACATTCCAACATGGACAGACTAGCATCAGGACTGTGACAGAAAATAATGCAAACCAACAAGGAAATTAAAAGCTATTATTACTCAACACTCAGCTTCATTGAACTATATTTCTTTTGTGTAAATTACATTCAGATGGCATCAGATTCGATCTAAATTTACCCTGGTTTAACCTAAATAAAAACACACAAAGTTTTGAAAAAAATGAAGGCTTAGCACCTGTCTAAATGTAGGTTTTGATTACTTGAAAATAAGAACACAGCAAGACGCAAGTACTGAGCACAAACTGCTTCTAAACAATCTGGATCATGAGAGGACCCTTGTTAGCTGACGTCTTCAAGACTTCTGCCTGTTCCTGGATCCCAGTCCGCCCAGCTGATCAGCTCTGTAAAAACTTTACTTCCCTGTATTGTTGTCGTTTTTGGCTCAGCATAACAAAAATCTGAGTGCAAATGCATCTTTTCATTTAAAGATATTTAAAATAATTTATTTTAAAGGGATCCCCGATTAGTTGTAACATTAGACTTTATATGATAAAAATATACTTTAACTGTAAAATAAAGAC